TCAACATTTTTTTATAAAATATATCCGTGAAGTGACACAAAAGTTCCATAGCCGCATCCTTATTAAATTTCAGTCAGGAAAAGGGAAGGATAAGCTTTTTTATTTTCCCATTATCAAACGATAGATCGACTAAAATGGAATTTATACCAAAAAGTGGAACAGAGAAAAATGCATTCAAAGTGCTGCAAACCCTACCTTCTCTTTAGCTTTGGTGGACAGAAAATAATTTGTTAAAAATCAACTATGCAGTGTAAATTAATTAAACTTTTTGGGAATAGTCTCTGGATGTTGGTGAATGTAAATATGCCATTTTTCAAAATCAACTTTATTTGCAGAATTTGTTTTTCTGGACAGTGTCTCCCCTTAATGCCTTTTTAGAAAGTACACATAATATTGTCGAATGTGACAGTCGTGAAAAGCCGTAATTGTACAAATACGGACCAAGTTTCCGCTTTCTTGTGAAATGTTAAAACCTGTGCTGCTTTCAGTTTTGTAACTTTTTCTTGCGCGCTTTTTAGTGTATGAAGCGGTCTTGTGCAATCCACTGTCTTGTTTAATTGCTCTTTGTATAATGGTTACTTTTATCTTTTATTTTTGTATACCCACTCCTGTAATGGCCCAATGGGTTGACAGTATCAATAAATGAGTGGAAAGAATGAATGAATGCCTCCCAACGTCTGGCTAGAGCAGACGACGCATCCACACGAGCGATTGTTTAAATTTAGGCTGTATGCTGGTAAGACGACTCTATCTCCCCTGAAGCACCAAGCAGTACCGTACCACTTTCAGCTAAAATTGTTTTCCTACCGATACTTTGCGACAAAATAAACGCAAGAATCTACGCCGTCTCGTGCGCGAACGTGGAGAGCCTATGGGGCGGTCATGCTTCCAGCCCGGGTAATTCCCGTTTCGACCCCATTCCCAATTCAACCTTCCCGTTTGTACCTTTCCGTTTCGACCCGGCTCTAAACAACCTTCTCGTTTCATCCTTTCCCATTTCGCCCTATCCCGAAACAACCTTCCCGCTTCGGCCATCGCTCGTTATCAATTTGTCGGTTCGTTTTTATTGTTTGTTAACAGTTGGTTAAGTTCAAGTGTCCAATGTTTGTCCTCCTTGCTCACCTCACTTCTTCCTCTCCCGAAACAACCGTGAGATAAAACTGTGTCAGGGAGGGCTCACCCGAACATTAACAGCTTCATCGATCTTATCAAACGGGGCGAGGCTTTGACAAGACATAATTAAAAACAAAATAACGCAAAGACAAGAAAAAAGTAAAAAGTAACCGACAAGATACAGTGCTGTGTCCTTTTACTTTGTCCATCGTATTTACGCTTTTTTTAAAATATGTCTGCATACTAACTAGCCCAAACTTCTACGTTAATCGACCTTGACAAGGATATCTGACAGCCGCGAACTATCAAAAATAGAGTGTCGCCTTTCTGATAATGCAATTTTCCTGCTCGACTTCCTCAACAAAGGCGATAGCATTTTGTGGTTTATGAACTTTTCCTGTGAGCGCGAGGGTTCTGTGCTTGAACTCGTAAGAAAATGAAGTCGCAATCATATGCCTGTCAACTTGTCTGATTTCTCACTCTTCAAAACATTCCGTTCTCTCTAAGGAAGTTCTAGAATAACGTACGTAAGCGCTTTCGGTATCCTAAAAATAGCGTCGCGATGATAAAATCTAAAGCAACGCTAATTTTTGCTTACTCAAAGTGCCTTGCCTACGTTATTTTAAGACTTCGTTATTGTACAGAGCGTGACACATAGCGCGAACAAGCAATTGTTGGTTTTCTCTGTTTGTCTCAAAGAATCAAATGACTGCCATCAATAATATTAGTGTCTCTGAAAGTGCTCATCTGGGCCGCTAACCTAAACGGTATACAATTTGGTACTTTCTAACACCATTTCGAAATAACATTTAAAAAGTCGTCAACATCGTGTTCGCGGTAACGTTGTCGAGTTTTGTAGTTCCACATTTTGGGGATCATCTTGAAGGGAGTGGTTGAAAGTAGAAATATATTTCGTTGGAGCTTGTCTGAAAGTGATGTATATCTTAAGAACACGTTGACAATAAAAACTAGTTCGCAACAGAACAAAATAGCTCGCCGGAACCTTTGCATTAATTGCATCAACAAAATTTCGGAACCCATTCTTAAGGAGAAAATGTGCGCAAACCAGGGTTAGAACGATGGAGACTTTTTGCGAAGAGGGTGAGATACCAATGGATTTCGACGGGGCGGCCTCAAACGTAAAGGCTGTTTCGGCTACGGGTTCAAATAAGAATGGCGTTTCGGGAACAGGTTGAAATAGGACAGGTTCAAATGGGACGGGCGATTCGGAAATGGGTTGAAACGGGACGGGTTCAAACGGGAAGGTCGTTTCGGGAATGGGTCAAAACGGGACGGGTCCAAACGGGAATGGGTTAATTGTTTCGGCCTACACCCCCGTGGAAATGGAAAGTCTACGCCGCTGGGTACGCTGTCGTAAAAATGTCACTATAATTCGTTTCACGTGAACTTGGTGAACTATGGAGGCTGCGGCCCCGCGATTAAATAAGGGCGTTGGAGCAAGACACGTGATCAAACTCCATATATTCATTGTAATAACTCAATCATATGTACGTAACTTGATGTCCCGAGTGAAAAAAGATGCATCTTGCAGCTCAGGTAGTATAAATGATGTCACAAACATCCTCGGTGTTTACGATTAAAAGAGCCATAGATATCATATCAAGCTGTTCTCGCAACTCACCGACGATTCCATTTGTCTGCATTAACAATCTACAGAGATCACGTCGACTGCCAACTATGTTGGGAATCGTCATGGGGGAAATCATTGCTGGACTTTGCTGCAAGCTTCACTTGGCGAGCAAAGCAACTGTCAAACTATCAAAAAAGCTTGAGACTTTTTTATTCTCTCTGGTTGCTGTACAGTCATGAACATCTTGTATGCTGTTGCAAATAAATCGATTAAATGTTGCTCCGTTTATAGGACGGTCCTTTGAATGCTTAAAATACGTTAAAAAATGAAAGAAGTTTACAATTCTCTGTAAGGCCGACTTAGAGCGCTGCTCTTGAGGATGAGGAGGGGAGGGTACGGAGGGGAGAGTACTCCCTCTCCGTACCCTCTCCTCCTCCTCTCCCGTTGCCCTTCCATTTAGCGGGAAAGTTTCGCTGAATTTTCCTCTAAATTTACCGCGAAATTTTCCAACATATTCCCTCTAAGTTTAGCGGGAAATTTAGCGAAAATTTTCCGCTAAATTTAGGGGGATAACTTAATTGGTGTCTAGGTTACATGACGTCAATTTCCCCGCAAAATTTAGCGGAAAATTTCCCGCCAAATTTAGCGAAAGCTTTCCCGCAAAATTAAGGAAATTTTACCCTCGTAATGTCACACGTGACATCACTTGTGACGTCATTATGGGAAAGTCTCATAATGCAACGCGCGGTTACGCCGACGCCGCTCAATCGGAAAATGGGCGCCTCACCGCTCATTCACACTGGAAGCGGATCCCCGTTCGGTTGCGAATGTGGTTGTATAAGGATCCAGTACAATTGCACGCGCACTCGATGACATCAAGTGCGCGTGCAATTGTACCGGATCTTTATACAACCGCGTTCGCAACCGCTTTGCGAACGCGGATCTGCTACCAGTGTGAATGAGCGGTAAGAGCTGCGCTCTAAGAAAATTCTGCGGTTACGGTATAAGCGATACTGTTCTCCATTGCACCGGGAGCACGGCACAGACCACCCTCGTCGATTGAATTGTAGGTCTGTCTGGATATTTAGACAGTGAGAGTGACTCATTTCACAATGAGATATTCGACCAGTGCGGTATACTGCTAAACGGAGGTCTTTAACGTGAGCAAGAAAGTAATGGCTACACAGGTGCAGCTGGACTGCATGCAAATTATGGCGCAAATGATTCATGGTGACTATCCCCAGCGCCACACACTTACCTGAAAGACCTGTGGACAACGCCAATGGCGCGCTATGCGTACGGTTATCGTATAAGTGTACCATGCAAGGATCCAGAATGGCGGCACGGATACAGGTAAATTTGACCGCCACTGCGCGGAGCTTGGGAGTTTCGGTAGTCCTGGAAACCTGTTCAGTGACTTTTAACAGACCATATTCATCGCCTCACCTCATGTGTACAAAGCTGGGTAAACCTATCACAAAACACGGAGGTAACGGACGGGCGACGTAGGTAAGCAGAGAGATGTTTGAAGCTTTTATTATCCTAAGCATGGGCTTTCGGACTGTCAGCTTTCCGTCTGTTTCATTAATATAGGAGGAAAGTAATTCCAGTCAAAGGAAGAAACAACAAACAAGACCATCAAACTTAGAGGAACATAGTTACAGTTGCGCACAAAAGGACAGGGTCAGAGAAGAGGAACACGTAGACGACAGACAAGCGTACTCTAACAACTCATGTATTGACGAAATATAAAAATAATGTACCTCTTTCTTTTTATCTTTCGGCAATACATGGGTTGTGGGTGTTCGCTTGTCTGTCGTCCACGCGTTCCTCTTCTCTGTTCCGGTCCTCTTGTGCGCAACTGTAACTATGTTCAATCTATGCCAACCGCTCAACTGTCCTCATTACAACATAAACAACAGTAACAACAACAACATCAGTTTAGTCTTTTATTCACATGTTTTGCTGTAGTTCGTAACTTTATGTAAAACATATGTTTGCCGGGTCTTTATTTTGAAAGAAGTTTATGGGTACCAGCGAACGAACTTGCCGTCAGACTGGTGACAAACATAAAATTATTTAGTCAAGGAGGAATAAATTTGACGAGTAAAGTATTTTAAAACTATAAAAAAAAGAAAAAAAAAGAAGAAACGGCGCAAAGGTTGCTACAAAGCAGGGGAACCCAAAACGACAGAAATACACAATCAATTACTTTCATTGATTGACCAGGAATTAATGTTTTTTCGTACTCAAAAGTCGACCAATCTAATTTCCGAGCCTCATCGGTGCATTATTATCAAAAGTATGTACATTTCTGGCTGCTGCCCATATAGGAAGAGGAGCTGCACGAGAAAGTTTCAGCGAAGGGTTCGAAGGATCGCAATGCCGCATTGCAGGTAGAGTCGCTGTTCCCGCATCTGGAGAAGCAGTAGGCCACGAAAAAGAACTGACGCGCTGCTCTTAAGCTCATCTCCCCAGGTCCTTCGAGACGCAGCAGATTAAAGGCAACCTCCAAACCCGGATCGCCGCAGCTAGTTACGTTGGTATCGTTGTAGAAAGGCCGTACTATTTGGCCAGCGAGTATAGCGCCCAAGCCGCCATACCTAATGGCGTCCGGTACATCGACGTAGTACAAGGGAGATGAGAGTACTTCCAAACCGACAAGCAGTGCGTTTTCATGGACTCTATAGCTGAAAGGCGGTTCACTGTTGTCTAGGCCATTGAATAAGTCGTCGTACTCTGGGGTCCCAAGAAGGCTGCGCGATGCCTTTCTTGTTTCTATCCAGTAATCCATGAAAGATGCTTCGTTTCCTGGGAAGGCGTCCCTAAGGATTCCTCCAATCACGTTCGAGGGCCATACGTCAAACTTGAGTTGTGAGACAGGATATACTGCCTGTCTCTGAAGCGGGTTCATCTTCAGAGCCTTGCTGACGACGTGGCTTTTAACTTTTTTCATGAACCTTAAAACTTCGATTCTCCGCTCTATGGGGAATTTTCCCAGGACATACTCCAAGGGAAGAAGCGAACCGAACATCTCTGAAAGCTGACGTTCGCAGACAAAAGAAAATAACTTTTCTGCACCGTCTTCCACTGCCGTTGACGGCACGTCTTCTGCCAGGATGTGTGTGTACCGAAGGGCGAACTGCCACCCGATGACATTGAGTATTTCTTCGACAGATTGTTCCTTCATGATTAAGGCTAACGTCTTAAGAGTATCGGTGTTATCCACATGCACAGCAGTGTCCATCGTCAAGTTGAAATTAGAAGGAGTATGTGCCCGCAGGTACTGAAGCCAAGTAGCTGCATCAACAGACGGTGTCAGGCGTTCTATATGCCGTAGCTGCAAGTGTCTTCGGGTATCTTTGCCGCTTCGAAGTGCCGCTATAAGTTTTTTCACAATTTTAACGTGAATCTCTGCTGACATTTTAGTGGCAGCCGGAGCATAAGGGGACCCATATATGCCGTGAAATGATTTCATTAGTGATAGAGTATCTGGAAGAAAGCCACGTTCAATGTCTTTGAGATCTTTCAATTCAAAGCTCGGTTCTCTAGAAAAAGCGGGTGGTTTGCTCGGAGATACCAGAAGGACTCTCGTTGTTCTGTCCGGTAGGAACCGTGCCCTAAACCACATGGGGCACCTCCAATTGATCTCCAGATCTAGGAGCACATCAACTGGATGTTTGTCCGTTGGCGGCTTCACGGGCCATGGAATTCCACGGTCTCGCATGAAGGTCTTCAGCTGCTCAAGATGCCTGCTTGGAGCGGATTTAGGACGACCGAGGCACGACTTTAAGACCGCCCTAGCTTTGACGGACCGTGGCAAGTGTAGCGTTCCGTTAAAGAAGAGGCGATAGACGTCTGCCAGCCACTTCCACTTCATTTCGTCGGTCACGCTGGTAGCCCGCGGCGGTTGTGGCTTCCAACCGGCGCAGACGAAGGCGCTGAAGTCCTCGCACGGTGATAGTTTCTTGCTGAGTGTCCTATTGAGAAGCGCCATGTGCTCCACGCAACCGGGCGTGGTACAGCGGAGGTCTAAGGAGAGCGCGTGGCTGCCTCTTGCCATGTTTAGAACAAGAAGAAAAAGTGTGACGAACGCGATTATTCCCAAGATGGAAGCTACTTGTAGGTTACGTTTCAGGATGGGGTCGCTCTGCGAAGCACTGCCTTCTTTCTCGTTCGGGTTCTCCTGTGGAAAGAATGAGCGCGTTAGAACTGGGGGGCATTCATTCTCTCGAAGGCCGAGGTAAGTCCTCGACCTTCTGCAAGGATGATAATCCAATCAGTGCCCTCCTTTCCCAAACAGCAAGGGTAGCGAACGAGGAAGAAAAATTGAGCGGTATTGTGTTAATCCGCAGTACAGTCGCGTAAAGCCCTCAATCCTGGGAAAGTGGCGCCGTTTATTGTTTGAAAATTCTCCAGAGACGTGCCGCGCACAGTGTTGTACACGTTCCTAAAAAAAAGGAACGAAACATTGTTCCTCGTTCCTTCTGATTTTTGGAACGCGTTCCCGTTACAAGTTCCATATGTGAAAAAGGAACTCGTTCCCGTTACAGATAAAAAAATTAGAACATATCGTTACATATACGTTAAATTTGTTTTTTGCTGATCACCATAGCAGGTTAGACCGAGCAAAGTCTTTTTTTTTATCAATCCCATCAAATGCTACCATACGAATTTGAATGTTGTGGGCGATTCAGACGAGGGAAATGTACTGTTCGAAGTCAGTCTTGAAAACTACAAGTCCTTTGTGAAGGTTGTATTTGTTGTTTAGTTTGAAGGAGGGGGACAAGGGGACAAGTAATAAAGGTTAATTGTTTTGTGTCTTTTAAGTCACCGATTTCGGGATACAAGGGTGAGTTCGATGTCTGGTAACCTGTTCTTTTGCTGTAACTGTAGGTCTCTTTGAGGAAGCTCAGTGATGGCTGTAGTCAGCCTTAGGTTTCTGGGTGTATGAAGATTCGCGTAATCAAAGAAAGTAGCTGAGTTTGAAACGTCCCTCTTCCTATATCTTTTAATTTGACTATAAGTTGGGTTTTTGTACCGCAGCCTCGGGCAATGAAAAGATAATCAATGTCCACTAACTCTCTTGCACCCGACTATTACCAAGCGAAGGCGACAAAAAATAAACCCTAAGATAAGTAACCAAAAAGTTAACGAGGTCCTGCTCTTTGCAAAAATATTGTTTTTATACTTTTGAACGTCCCCTTTTAGAAATAAAATAAAAATTACTCCACTAGACGACAAGAAGGAACGCCGTTCTTTTTTCCGTTCCAGTAAAAATGTAACGCGTCCCCGTTCCAGTTCCAGCGATGCAAAATGGAACGGCGAAGTTCCTTCGTTCCTCCTAAAAGGAACGCGTTCCAGGAACGCCGTTACTTGGAACGCCGTTCCGTACAACACTGGCCGCGCACCACTTCTGGGACGAACATGGCGTCGGAAATCTAGCTCAGTCCCAACGACGTCGTTCGAAGCGCCATCTCTATTTTCGTTTCATAACTATGCGCTCTAAAGAGCTCAGCAGAAGCGCCTAAAGGCAATCACAACGCCGCCATTAACCCTACAGCGGTCACTCGAGGAACTGCACGTAACAACCATTTTGGCTTCAATCGGCCATTTCAGGCCCGAAACAGATACAGTGGAAAGAGGTACAGGGAAGCCACCCCTTATCTCCCCAGCGGACGCGTAGGTCGGGACGCGCTGCCTGAAATCCCCGCTGAGGCATGGTTGTATTAAAACAATATTAATTGTACCGCAAAACCTTGCAAACTAAAGATTTTAGAAAACATCACGCGCCCCTCATTTTGTACTAAACTCCAATAAAAGTTACTACCAAAAGAGTTTTTGTCGTTGGTTTTTACGTTTCTAGTAACGTTGAAACGTACGTATCCTGATTCAGTCACCAAAGCAGCCTTCTGGCGGCGCGTCGAGCGACGCTTGGCGAGTCGCGGTGAGTGAGGGGGGGCACTGTTCATGCATGCGGCGTCTATGAGCCGTTCCGTAACTGAGCTAATCTAATAACGATGCTCAGCGCTGCGCTGTGCCGCCATGATCTTCCCAAGGGCTGCACGCGCTGCACGTGCCTCGTGCATCGACGCACCTTGCGCTACTTTTGAAACATGAAGGGGCTCTACAGTCACACAGAGCCGCAGCCACAGCGTTGACCGCGACACGTCGCGGCGAAGTCGATGGGCGTCGGTGTCGCATTCGTGGGGCAGTGGCGTACGTAAACAAAAGTGTTCGGAACAGGATAGACATCTGTTTTGTACCGAACGCTCTTGTCTTGTTCCATTCTTTTTTTAAGTTTTTTTTTTTTTTGTTCCAGAGCGCGTGATGAACGTCTCTCGGCACGAGCTCTTGGCATCGACATTGCTGCAATAGTATTTTGTTCTGGGTTATTTTTTTTCCTGAGAACGCGTGCAGTGGGCATTGGTTACTACCAACGTTACTATACTCTGTTTCATACTTAGTGTGCAACGCTGTCAAAGCTACTGGCGCGAGCATGGTGCTTGGTCTCGTTGATCATTTGCACGAGTTCACGCGCAAACAAAACCATAGATGAAGCCACGCGCGCTCGCGCCAGTAGCTTTGACAGCGTTGCACGCTAAGTACGGAACAGAGTATAGATTACCTCAGTTGCGGAACTCGTGCGGAAGGGGGTATACTTCTCACTCACTTCAGTCCGCCTCTCGTCCGTTGAAGCGCCATGTAGATTTCTGTTTTCTGACCGTGTGCTTAATAGAGCAGACCTTCAACGCCACCTAGATGATGTGCTTCTAAACGTATCTATTCCAATACAATACGCTGCAGTTACTGTAGCAGCCGCAGCAGCCGTCCTGCGCGTCGAGGGCATCGAGGGACGGGACGCGAGTCGTGGTGAGTGATGGGAGTTACTGCTCGTGCAAGCAGCGTCTATAAGTAGTTCAGAGGCCAGATTCACGAAATGATCTTACGCCCAAAATGTGCGTAAGACAAAACTTAAAAACAAGTTCGTACTCACGAAACGAAATTTTCTTAAGTTTTGCGCAGGTTACGACGAAATCCTATGAGAGCTCCGAAGCTGTCTTACGCACTTCTTACGATCAAGTCAGCATGGCCGACAGCGTCGCTCAGTTGTTGGTCGCGACGACCAACAGACGTTTATTTTTCTACGTGCGCTTCTCACGCGTCCCGACTTCAAGCAGCAAGAAAAAAGTAAAAAGTACTTGAAACAGACCACGCCAAACGAACAAGAACGCTGGATGCACAGACACCCAGGAAAAGCTCCAACGGCCACGATTCCACGGACTCCGACTGATCGGCAGATAGGCCTAGCAGGCACTTCGACTCGGCGCAGCGATGCTCTGACGGTCCTTGGCGAAGACCGTCTGCCCACGACCGGCTGGCGTGCTGAATGGATATGCCCGCGCGACCCTTGTGAACCCTTCCCCTATTATAGTTTCATTGCTGACCTCAATTTTAGATTAAGAGGTCAATCTCTTCCTCTTGTCATCTCCTTGTTTTCCGAGGCAACGGTGACGAACGCTGTCGTCGAAAAGGGGCTCTCATCGATTCTATCTCTGTTTTGTGTGATATCGAGCTCAAATCAACGCCGTATGGATTACCTTCGTAACACGGTATGTACACTTTGTTAATAGTATTCCATTTTTATTCTGACACGACTGCACCTCACTGTTGATCGCTATAACAGTTCGTGGGTCGCAATGCCGGTCCAACCTTTATTTGCAGGGTGTCACGTCAGCATCGAGTTGCAATTGCAGAGGATCGGTCCCGAAGCGCTTATCAATTCGCGGTCCAACAGCGCAAATCCAGTACTTCGATCAAACGCGCGCGTCCGCTCAGTAGTGTGAACAGGCATTTACGTGGCTCTTGCTGACACTGTCGTAGTCCAAACGTATCTTTTTTAACGTCTGCTCGCTCCTGTATCTCCGAGGCCGTGAAAAACGCCGCGGCAATTTGTTTCCATCTACGTCGCTTTGCAAACGACTGCGGGCCGTCTTTTACCAAGGATGACAGTTTTGTTGACTTCGTAGCGATCGAGTTCGTAGCAGTCGGTTACGCATCCCGGCCTCGGCATTCGGGCGAGTTTCGTGTTAGCGTCGACATATCACTGCACGGACACGAACACCATACAAGCGGTGGCAGAAAGGCAGCCTGTGTTTGTTATGAAAAATCCACGTGTGTGTGTGTAAGCGTTGTGAATAAGATAAGAAAGGGGGGGGGGGGGGGGAAGAGAGGGCCAATAGTGGATGCGCACAAAAATCCACGTGCTCCGAACGGCTCCGAAAAATGCCGAGCTCTCCGATTGGTTGTTCGTGCTGCCGAAGACGCCGTCGCCATAGCAACAGCACCGGAAAGTTTTAGTTTTTCCGTACGACAACGTCGCTTTCCTCCTCTCACTTAAGAACGCGTTCGTGAATACCGATTTCTTCTCTTCTTACGATGTTCTTAACTTATGAACTTCTTATCTAAGTTGTCGTAAACTAAAGGCCCGTTCACACAGTTGCGTTCGGAACGACCGCTGCGACTTCAACGACAACTGTGCGCGACGTGTACACACACATGCAACCGCACGAATCAACAGCCAATGAGAAACGAGCTTCAGCTCTTGCTCGTAGCCAATAGGAAGCAACCCAGATACGCTTACAAACATGGCGGACGGTTTCCTGCCCGACGCGAGGTCCACCGTCCTCACCGGAGCAGCCGGAGGTTTCGGCTACGGCGTACAGTCACGAAGATCTCCTGTGCGCCTACAATAGCTGTGTAAAGGCTGGAAACGAACCCGTTATCCACGACTGCGTCCGTTGTGACCGGAACGACCGCTCTGCGCCGCGCGTACACTCCTGCAACCACTGCAACAAGCGCAGTGCGTCGGCAGCACGGCGACCGCCTCTCCGCCGCCGTCAGCTGTTTCAGCGGTGCCTCTAAAAAGAAGGGGACGCGCTGATACTCACTTGCGTAACAGAAAATAGACAGACAGTCTTCTATGACCACAAACTTTTATTTTTTATTTTTTCAGGATACGCTTGCAGGGTAGTGCATTAAAAAAAAAGAAAAACAAGATGC